TGAGATATTAACTTTCCAAAATTTTTTTTGGCCTTACGACCTCTGAGAATCAATACATTTCTGAAAGCTCTTATGAATGGTACAATTATGTTTAGATTTGAACCCAAATTACAATAACAAAACTGCATAGAATATTAGGCTTGTTCACACATCGCCTCGTAGTCATAACATAAGCGGAGGGATACACCGGAAATTTTCTAAATTTCTTCCGGTTTCAGGACGCTTGTTATTTACCTACGAATACTTGTTATTTACCTTGTTATTTACCATTACGCGAAGAGGAAAACCAAATGAATTATTTGCAGACTGTGGTTCAAATTTTGGTGCTGCAAATAAGGAAATTAATCGAGTGGTTAAATCTCTTCAAAAAGAAGAAACCATCCATCAGTATTTTGCCGATGAACAAATTAAATGGCACTTTAACCCACCTTCAGCACCTCACTTTTAAGGAATTTGGGAAGCTGCTGTGAAATTCGCAAAATCGACTTTGAAAAGAGCAATAGGTGACCATAAATTGACCCTTGAAGAGTTTTTAACTCTTATTGCACAAATCGAATCCTGCTTGAACTCTCGTCCTTTGTGTCCTGTGACGGATGATCCCGCTGAACTTTCAGCTCTTACCCCAGGACATTTCCTTGTGGGAACCTCTCTTTCTTCAGTACCAGAAGAGAACTTTCTGTGCGAAAAGATATCCCCATTAAAACTTTGACAGTTGACTCAAAAACTTTTCCAGAATTTTTGGAAAAGATGGGTTGACGAGTATATTTCCGGCTTACAGCAGCGCCCCAAACGACTGCGAGTCTAGCCTAACTCGAAAACTAATGATTTAGTTCTCATTAAAGAGGACAATATTCCACCTTTGAAGTGGAAATTGGGGCGTATACAAGAAGTTTTCCCTAGTAAGAGTCGTTAACTAAGGTAAGAGTCGTCAGTGTCAAAACTGAGACTGGAACTTATTAAAAGACTCATTCACAAACTGTCAGTTTTACCTATTGACTGATTAACTTTCTTTATTTTAGACTTTTCTTTTTTGTGTTATAGTTATTCGGTTTACATCAAGGAATCTATACATCTGTTCATTATATATATTTTTAATTTCATGTATGTTGTATTAGTTTTTATAATGATCTTTTATTAGATGTGTAATATTTTGCTTTCATTTTTGTCAATTTATGTGTAAATTTTGAAACTATGTATCAAGGTTATCCGGTATGTTGAAGCCAGTATGTATGTTGCACTAATAGCGCCACCTACATTAATTAGAAAAAAAAGTTACTTCTTTAGTTGGCTTCATTGCGTCTATAGAGATAGACCAATGCGCTGTTCGTAATAAATGCATTAATTATTAATCCGCAATTCATTATTTTATTCGTCATTTATCTAAAATCCGATCAACATTATTTTCATGGGCTTGTAATATACGAACCACGCAAACCCGCATACGCAAATCAAATAAAAAATATTAATACATTCTAGATATGAATTATAATACTTGTAAGAATATTATATGAAGTAAAAACGAAGTCTACTTCTTAAACCTCCAAAAAGTAAAATGTTAAAATTGCACTAAAATTTTCCAGTTATGCATTGTTTTGCCATCAAATAAAATTTGATGCATGAAACCACCAGTTGAAAGTATAAATAAAATAAAAATAAGTCTAACAATTAGAAGGTTAAAAGCATAAAAATAAAATGAGAACTTTGATGTTCAATGAGAAAATGCAAGTAATAAAAGATTTAAGGAATCAACAGTAAATAATTTTTTAATTTGAATTCAGTTTGGGATATAACCTGGTTGCTTTCTATGCAAGCAGGGGTCTGTCCAGACATTTTGAGAAAGGTCCGTTCTTGTAAAATTGTGAAAAAATTACTCGTAATTTGTGAATATAAAATAAACGCTTAGGCACATTCCTTCAACCAAGGTCCGCTTTTGTGAATTTGTGCAAATAGGGTCCGTTATTGCTAAAAAAAACCTTTTTCAAGGAGTTTTTAAATTGTAAGGACATACAAGATTATGCTCAACAGTGTAAAATTATAATTAAAAAAATTAAATTTTAAAAAATAAACAGAAATTGTAGCTACTAAACTAGCAATGCAACATATAAATATTTGGTATTTAGCCTATACTGCTGAACGCAGAATATTTATTTCGGACGAATAAAGGAAGAAGCGTCTGCTGAAGACAAAATTTAGTTTGTTTACATGTCTTTCTTAGCAAAACAAAAATGAAGATAAACAAATTTGTGAAGGGTCCAATTAAAAGATAAATTATCTCCAACTTAGGGGTATAGGGCAAACTTTCAGAAACAAAATAAAACATATTGCCACAAATATTAAGATAAATAAACAAAATTTAAAAAATAATGTAAAAATGTAATAACACTCTATACTGCTGCTGCCCCCAAAACTAAGTATAGATGCTTTTTAGATGCCAAACTTAACACTAGATATGCATAATAAACATGAACGTGTAATCGTCATTTGCAGAAATTTGTCATTTTCTCAGAATATTTTATAGTATTACTCATTAAAAAAAAAGCAGTCAAAATTTTGCTTGACTTTCAGACATCAAAAATTTAATGGTCCACACTGATTTTTATGAAAATATTTATTAAATGTTTGTATTGTTGAAATGTTTCTGAATGACTTAGATTTTAGATATACAAAGAAAGCCAAGCATAAATAAGGTAAAGTAATAACTAGTTTTACATTGTAAAAAAAAACTGCTAAATTTAAAGAAAAATATGCAAGAGGAATGTATGAAAATCAATATAGTTTTTTAAAAAAATCATTTAAAAAATTAGTAATTTTTTGAACAAATTTTATCAAAATTAGGTAGCAACAAAAGGGTTGAAATTAGTTTCAAGAATCAATAAATTGCATGCAGAAAGCTTTTTAATTGAGATTTCATGCTGGCAGAAAGTTTTTCATTTTATCTAAGTTTGCCTAACACCCATCTCCAGTTTTACAAAAGTAAAATCAGCATTTTAAAATTTACCATTTGCAAAAACAATCTCCTTCTTCCCTTAAATTCAACAGACTTATTTTTTTAAAAATTAACTTTTAATTATTTCATTTTTTTAGTTATTCATTTTAATATGTTCAACTTGATTTTTGCATTCTGGATAATATTGTAGTTAAAATTGAGTAAGTCAACTACTGATCTAATGTTTATATTTATAATGATATCTCGCTCCAACACCTATTTAATAATAGACTGGCAAATTTATTAAAATTGAATAAACTACAAACTACAAGTATCAAAATATTTTAATGCAGCAGATCAACACCATTTTGTTCTATGAAAAGGGTTCCATAGGTTAAGGATTTTGAGAAAACCCAAGCAAAAAGATAAAAATGAAAACAATAATAACTTTCCAAGCAAGAGCAACATATGAAGTATTAATAATAAAAAATAATTATTTTTCAAAAAAAAAATAATATATTATTTATTAAAATTGAATAAACTACAAACTACAAATATCAAAATATTTTAATGCAATAGATCAACACCATTTTGTTCTGTGAAAAGGGTTCCATAGCTTAAGGATTTTGAGAAAACCCAAGCAAAAAGATAAAAATGAAAACAATAATAACTTTCCAAGCAAGAGTAACATATGAAGTATTAATAATAAAAAATCATTATTTTTTTTAAAAAAAGAATAATACTTAAAAGGATTAATGATAAAAAATTTATTAGCCAAATAAAAAGGTTAGTTAAAGCTGAAAAGGTTTATTGAACACTCAAAACATACCAATCAGCACAGAGTTTGATAAGAGTAGTCAAGAAATGAATGCATTCAAGTAGAAAAGCAGCAATCTCATCTTCATTACTAATTGGTATCTGAATGCTATTAAAGAACTGGGATAGCTTATCAATGATGCCAATGCTTACAATGTAACTAAAAAGACAAACAAAATGTTACTTTAAATAATATTAAAAACAATTACAATGAGATTAAATATTCTTATATTAAACAATATTTCTTTACAAATACTTTATAGTTTGATTCATTAAGGCATTCATAATAATTCACATTTAAATGTTAGAAAAACTAAATTATCAATGCTTACTAACTGAAATTTTGTAACAAAAAACAAGTTTTCAATTTAACAATGTGTTAAATTGAAAAACAATATCTAAGGTGCTTTTTCTAACCTGTACTGATACAAGATGAATCATACATGGTTTAACGGACAATAGTGAGTAAAATACAAACTTGCATTCTTTTAAACAAGTTAACATTTTAAGTAAATATTTTGAAGGGGTTCTTTTTTTATTTAATGAATTTATTAATTTATAAATATATCAATTCATGAATATATTAATTTATATATTAATTTATAAATATAAAATGCTCAATATGTATAACACTGGTGAACAAACTTTTTGTTGCATTTATACTAATACTTGATATTGCCTAATTCAGGTGTGTAACAGTTTGGTTCCTAAAGCTACATATTTTTTTTATGTGACATTATAAGTCTATATTTTCTCACAATGTGCAAGTTTAAAGATGTTATATAAAACAGGCGGTTGCGTAAATGTTGTGAAAACTTCTAGGGAGGTTAGTTCACCCCATCAGGAATAAAACTGCATAGGAACCTATGCCTGAAAATATCCTCAACAACAGCTAAGGGTATTTCCCTATTATGACCTACATAGAAGCACACAAAGAAACAGCTATTAATAGGGAAGGGTTCCTAGTGGGGTAAAACAACATTTCTGGTCATGCGTTTCAATGCAATTTTAATCCTGATAATGTGCCTTAAATCCCCTAGAAGTTTGTGAAAAGTGAATAATTTGGATGATTGTAATCTGAAATCAGAAAGCTAAAACAAAAGTGGATAATAATTCCAAACCTTATCATATCTTGCAACCGAATTTGGAAGTCCGAAGGCTTGTCTTTATTTTCATCATCTTTAGAACAGCTGTATTCCACTGACAGGTTTATTAAAATCCCAGTTAAAAGATGGATCAGTTTCCAAGCAGTAATATCAACTTTGATGTTCATTTCTCCAGTTTTTGTCATACTGTTGGCAATTAGCTGACTTATGTTATCAGGAATTAGACGCTACAAGCAATTTCAAAACTTATGTAAATATTTATTATTAATACACCATAAATAAAATATACAATGCTAGAGATTTCAGAAGGAAATACAAAGCTTCATGTGCAGTGTACAGAAAAAGTCAATAACTGATACTTATTTTACACATTATTTTTCTAAATTTATTTTAACATCAATTATACCATTTCAAAACCAGAATCTAAATACATTTTAAATGAAAATTAATTTGTTAAAAGAGTGAAAAAAATTCAGTAAAATAACTAGCAAACCTAACAGACTTTAAAATTTTATATTTTATTTAAATATGCTGAATAAGCTTAGTAATAAAAATGAAAACACATATGGTTAAGATAGGAATAAAGTAAGTTTGTTTAATTTATAAATTTTAACTTAATTTACTGAAATGGCTTTAGAAATTATATTTTTTGAACCTAATGCCTTAAACCAAATGTCTTCAAATTAAAACCCCCGTAGGGCCAAAAAACAGTCCATCAACATCATCTAACTAGTCTGCGGTAGCAGGCTTGACCTTCGAGGTATCTGGCCAATCGCAATTTCTTTTAATTGAATTTAAAAATTCAGTAAATAAGTCTATTACAGAATAACGAAAAGAAACATAATTACTGATAAACAAATAGTAATAAATAATATGAAGTTCATTTTAAAAAAAAACGCAAAAACCTGTGTATCTTTGCACTGTAGGCCATCAATATCCCATTAAATGACTAGTTCTGAAAGAAACATTTGTGCTTACAACCTTAATACAATATTATCATACACTTAACTAAATGTGCAAATTACTTAAAATGTTTTGCCAAGAAAGGCAAGAATATCAAAATGCCTTGAAAAATGCTTAAAATATTTCCGAAGACTAAGAAAAATAATGTAAATAATTAAATTTCAAAAACTGAGAAAAAGATGTGACCTAGCCACTCCTTTCCTAAATAACACATTTGCTCATTTGGTTTCGGCCCTTGCAACTTAACTGAGGAATCAGATTAGACTTAAGGCTAAAATGTTTGAAGAGTATCACAAATTTCCAAGAAAAATCTAATTTAAGTGAAACCGTAAAGGAGGAAAAACTAAGAAAGATATACTAATGAACTACAACAGAATTTTGTTCACTGTTATTTTTGAAGGCTTAAAGGTTATTTTTTTAAGGACTGTAACTACAAAAATTAACACATAAATAATTAAATACAAATATTTTGTCTAAGAAATAGAGATATTACTTTTTAAAAAAATTTTCCTAAATGAAAGTTAAAATTTTTAAAATTGTTTTTCAGTTTTTTTAAATTTGAACAGGGATGAATACTGAAAAGATTGTGTAAATATTCTCTTTTTTAATATAAAAAAAGGTGAAAAGTGGAGAAAAACAGTAACTTCAAATCACATGGTTCATGCAAAATAAAATATCTATCATAAAATTTAATAATAAATTTTAATTATAATGAAGTTTAAAAATCTGGTATGAAAATCAAATAACTTTAGGTGCATAAATAAGAAGGATAAAAAATTAACTATCAAAAGAAAATTTTTCAAATAACTCACATTCAATCTAAATATAAGTAAATCAAGAAGACTGCCAATTTTGTTGCTGAAGAGCATATATTTACACAGATCATGCGACTTATCAATAAGAGATTCAGTGGTGTTGCTAAGATGATTAATAGTTCTGAAAATAATAAAAATATAAGAATAAAACGCAATATTGAAAAAAAAATTATAAACTAGAATATTTAATGAAAATCACTTACTTTTTACACAAAAATGCATTGTTTTCAGTTTGGTGTTTTGAAATCACATTATAGAGATCCACTAAAGCAGTAACACCGCCAGCAGTTTGAAACGCTGTTCGATTGTTCAATAGATTCTTTTTTAGCAGAGAATCAATTTCATTCAAACATCTCTCCATTGATGTAAATAAATTTGATTGGGGTGAATTCTTTTCATTTTGAGCTAATAACTTCTTGATATCATTCATGATTCTCTCCATTCTAAAAGTGTAGAGAATTATCAATAAAATGAAAACAAGATTTTTTTTTTAATATCATCAAATACCAAGAAAAACCATAGCTAAAATATCATAAATCAAAATAAAATGCGAAAAATTTTAAATATTATTTACAGAAAGTATTTAAAGCACTGCATGGATTATTAAGTTTCAAATACTGGTCTAATAATTAGAAGAAATCAAGCAAAAATTTTTATATAATTTTTTTTTTTAATCATTTCAATCATTTTAAATTTTTTTTTTACTATAAAATAAATGTATTATTTGTTGCTAGATCATATTCTCTTAATCATATTCTATCATATTCTCTTAAATAATAAAATTAGCATTTGCATATTCAATAATAGTACTATGTAAAAAAAGAGAAAAAATTCATAATCTTATCTCATTTATTTTAGTTTTTTAATTTAGATTCTAAGAGATTAAAAAAAATCAGAGTTCTGTTCGGCACTTAAATATAATAAAACAAGGCAGGTTAAGCTTATTATCAGATAGATAGATAGATAGAGAGAGAGATTTATTGAAAATTATGACTTTTAAATAAAAAAAGGAGGAGACACAACTACGGGTGTAGAGAACAAAGCGAGTAGAGAGCAAAACACTAGCAGTACAGACATAATGGAATAAAATGAGATGGCAATAAAACATGATAAACTTACTTAGTTTTCACATTGGAATTTACAGGAGTAGCTGTTTTAAGGTACTCTGATTCATAATCCTGACCACTAAGATGAGCAGATAAAAAAAAAATTATAAATATATTAGAATAAATTTAAAGCACATAACTCGTAATAAATGATTATTTATAGATATTTTTACCTTCGAAATAAGTTTAGACTCAATTCTTGCCCCATAATATCAAATATTAAATCTTTTGCCTCATCCCTATTTTTTTTGTTCAATTTAGCTATTAGAGTATGAAATTTATTTATAGAGTACAAATTTATGAAATTTATTTCTTAAAAAATTCAATAGTGGGCACCTTTATTTCAAAATAAAAAGCAACATAAAAAGATTTTTTAAAAAAACACATACTTTTAGAAATCATTTCAAAAAAAGAAAACTTTTGTAACAGAAAAATTATGATTTAGAACAGTAGTTCAAAAAATTTTACTTATATTTAAAATTTAGTTAAAGAAAACTTATGCATTAAAAGTTATTCTGGTGAAATAAAAGAGAAGTAATTAGAAGTTAAAAAACTTTTAATTAAAGTAAATTCAGCAGTAAAATTCTATCCCAGGTTTTTTATTTTTTTAATAATTAAAACATAAAGGCAAAAATTTTGATATCAGTTTATTTCATCTCATATTCATCATGGGATGAAATAACATCTCATATTATCTGTAAATATTTTTTCATACTTAAACAAATAGTATCTAGAGTCTATTAAAATCCTAAACTTTTAAAAAGTCTATTTTCTTTGTTTTTAAAGATAGTGATATTCAAAAAAGCTTAATCTTATGAAAATTTAATCTATCAAGAATGATGCAGCAACAAAAAAAAAAAAAAAAAAAAAAAAAAAAAAAAAAAAAAAAAAAAAAAACAGAAAATTTCTCAACAGATTTAGCATTTTGTTTGACATAAAATAGCTGATTTATCTCACTTTGCTTCATTATATCAGCTGTATCATCCCTCATCTTTGTAAAGGGTTCCTAAAATACCACCTTTTGAACAAAATTTTTTTTGTGGACCCCACTTCTTAGCATTTTACAACATTCTTGATACACAATTTCCAGCTCAATACTCTAAAAGGCACTGTGAATTATTGAATTTTAGTAAAATTGTATGGCAGATTTTGCAATATAGGGACCAACACATTCATAAAATGAAGGAAAACACTTATAACAAGAATTTTAAATAAGTTTTAAAGTATCAGAATATAAACGCTTTCGATAAACGATTATTACTTAATGAAATAAGTTCACTAGATTTTTTTAAACCAAAACCACAATGTTGGGCCTTATGTTAAAAAATTTTTTTTATGGTTTGCATCTACATGGAGTTTGCTTTCATACTTTAATATGAAACAAAACAGTACAGAAAATGCCTGTTTATATAAATATTGCAGAGCTGTATTTATAGTTAATATCAAAATTGTTTTGTGCACGTCCTTTAAAGACCAAGCAGACAATCAGGGCTCTATGAACCCCAGAATTTCTGAGTTATGATCATATAAGTATATACAATATCCCTAATGTAGATTATTATTTTAATATAAAGAAATTATGAAAAAGATTGATAAATAATTTTTTGTTATTTAGTTTTGTATAAGTATACAAAAAGTAAAATATATAGAAGTTTTATAATAAATAGGAGAAAAATTACCGGTTATTCATTTTCTGACGGAGTTTTTTGCAACGTTTTTTTAATGCTTTCTGCCTTTCCTTGTCTAGAGCGATGTTTGGATCTAATTGATCAGTTGATGCATCAACTATGTGTTTAAGATTGTATAGTTCCTATAATTAAAAATGATAGCATAAAAAAAACACATTTTTCAACACAAAATAAGTTAGATATTAACTGAGAAAATCCACTTTATCTAAATTTATTTACACCAAGTAGTTTAGGTTTTGCTTTGAACAAATTATTTGTTTAATATAACAATAATGTAACTCTTAAAGTTATAATAAACAAATAATAATACACAATGAATTAAAAATTAAATACAGATTCATTTAATTTAAAACATTTTTTAATAATTTAAATTATCCATTTAATTGATATAAGTCAATAACATCTAAGCTTCTTGTGGCATTATTTTTTTTTTATTTATGATAACAATTTTAAAAATTCTTTTAAACAAGCTGCACTGCTAGAAGCATGTACTTCAAAATCTAGATGTAAGTAATTCATGGTGTATAAAATGAAAAAAAAAAAAAAAAACTTTTTAATGTTTGATGCAAAGCAGTAGATACTATAAATATAAATGAAAAAAATATTTAAAAAAATTTAGAAATCACTACCTAAGTAAGCACTAGTTTTATAGCAATGCTGTTTAAACTAATCTGCTGTAAAAATAACATTAAAACATTTTGTTCTCTATAGGGGAAAAAACTACATTAAAAGTATTTTTTTGTTATAATAGATGTAACAAACTATTACTTAATGTTGATAATTAAATTTAGCACTTTGTTTCGTGCACTACATAGTGTAAATTTTTTATTTCATGCTGGCATTACTACAAAAAATATTATAAAATATACAGCTCAAGCATAATTTTTTGTCATAAATCTAATAGGAAAACAATGAACTTAATTTTTGAAGAGTAAAAAATATTATTATGCAAATTGAATCAATTTGTGATAATTGTGAAAAATTCATTTCTTTTGTCATCATATTAAGTGGTGTAAATTAAACTTATTCTTTTATTGTGTTGTAATACAATATAAATTTTACATTCTGTTCTATTCAAAGGTTCCAATGTGGAAGAAAAAAATTTATTTCCTCTAAATCAGTTTAAATTTTACATTCTAACTTATTTTTCTTAATTTCGCAAATATTTTAAGGTATACATTTGAAATAAAATGTAACTTATAACATATCATTATATATTTTTTTTAATGGCGGGCTCTTGGTGGTTGTCCATTGGCTACAGGAATACCGGAATTGCTAATCTCTTCTTGTTACCCAGTGGGCACCTGTGGCGAAGCCACGGCAGTGGAGCAGCGTCGCCCATGCCACACAACCACAACTCGTTTATAGGGCGGGTCACATTCACACACAAAGGAGAAAGGACATAGAACACAGAGAGAGAGAGAGAAAGAAACATCCATGCCCTGAGCAGGATTCGAACCCGCGATCAGCGGCTTTGCAGTCAGGCACGCTAACCACTCGGCCACCAAGTCGGCTTATACTTGGTTCATAACAGACAATATTCTACATTATGCAAATCATATCTGTTTGTTTCATGTTTTTTTTTGCTGATTATATTTTAGCACTATTTAAAACATTGTTAAGGAAATGTCAAACGCAAATTTTTGGACTATATTTAGCAAGACTTCCTGAAAAATGTTTATTTTCATCACTTAGAGGCAAAACTAAAATGAATTGGAGCTGGTAGAAACAATAAGCTTATTAGGAACAATAGTTAGATCTTCACAAAACCCAGCCTGGTGTAAAACACGTTATAGGTGGTAACTTAGGCGAGACTATTAAAAAAGTAAAATGATCACATATTTTAAGTATTCAGATCTATTTCAGTTGAACACATAAATTACCAATTCTTCTGAAGATGGGTCTTTGCCTTGATACTGATTTTTCACAGCCTCTTGGTGTTTCTTTCCATGCAGATGACTAAGCAAATACACCTCTGAACCAATCTGTAAAATCATAGAAAGAATCTTAGCATTTAACAGTAGGAATCAATCAGAAATATGTCAGCGTTTTATGGCCAATTAAATTATAAAACTCCAGTTTTTATTTTAAGAAAACTTTATTCATACAGATAATCCATTAATATTTCTAACTCAATATTTTCTTTCCTAAGTAGGAGTTTTTTTTTTAAAAAAAAACATATTAAGGGAAAAAAAAGAAAATGTATTAAAGGGAAAAAGAAAGAGTAGAAAAACTCAATCAATTTAAGTGCATATCAGTGAATAATCACTTGTTTGCATGTCCTCCTGCCAATAATTAAGATAACTCATAATAGATAAGCAAGACATAAAAAACTCACATAAAATTAGCAATAAAATAGGTTTAGTTATTACTTCTTCCTCAAGAGTTCCATTTGCTGTTGTAATTAAAGTTTACAATGTTTATTTTAATTTAGGTACCGTTATTTATATATACCATTTAACTTGTTTTGTTAAAGCATAATAACAAGATTTTGACAACAAAAAGTAAAGCTATATATATATATATAT